GGTAGACAGACCACGCCGCTCTTGGTAATTAACGGCGGCGCTGTGCAGGTCGTCCGTGCTTGTGGAATGAACAGCAAGCACCGTTTGTTTGTGTCGATTGAAGCAACTTGGTCCAGAGTGGCATTAAAGGCAAAATAATCGTAAGAGTGAAAACCAATGGTCCAATTTTAGCAACATTTTTTTTTTTTTTTTTTTTTTTTTTTAGGGGGGGGTGGCTATAAAACTCTATGGATCGTGTGTTAGTTGAGTGTCGCAAAAAAAAAGAGAGAGAGAAGGAGAGGGAGAAAATGGAGTTCTATTTCTCAGTGACACTCGGCAACTCGCACCTGAGTCATTATTATAGATTATCGGCGCCTCGCAAGTTCTGCAAAGTAACGAACACTGCATACAAGCGCTGCCATTGGCCACTTCGCTTTAACTCCTTGATTTATATACTGTCGGGGAGCCAATGAGCTGGCTTTTATATTTTCGCTCCCTGTGCAAGTGACATCGACATATGGCGGCCCCGGCGTGTCATTGCTTTGAGGCGAGACAGATAAATCATCCGGGCTCTCCGCCATTTACCTCAGCGCCCCCTGGACGAGCGATACTCCCTTCCCAAGTACAATAGCTTGCCATATTATATGACATAATATCACACGCCGTGCCAGAGGTTTTCGCTCCTTTTCTCCCCATTTCAGTCGCGGGCCCGAGCGTCGCTTTTCAAATCCCCTTCCGCTGGCCCGGTTTCCCTTGTGACGGACGGAGCCGCCGCCGCTGCGTCCGAATGCGTCGCTCAAGCGCCATTTGTTAGGCTTTGGCAAACACTCGAACGCAATGACCAGGCTTGTCCAACACGATCCTTGTTGCTGAAAACCCTTTCGCTTGTTCACCTGCGCCGAGTTATGACGTAAGCGCCGGCTAAACACACACACATACACTCACACACACACACACACAACACACACACACACACACACACACACAACACAACACACACAACAAACACACACACACACACACACACACACACACACACACACACACACACACACACATACACACACACACACACACACACACACACACACACACACATACACTACACACACACACACACACTTCACACACACACACACACACACACACACACACAAACATACACACACACACACACACTCACAAACACACACAAACACACATAAACACACACACACATAGTCAGCTCCTAGGGACTGGCTGCACCGGTCATTTTGGGAGTTCTTACCATTTTTATCAAAGATATCTTAACTTGCTAAAAAGTCGAGGAAGAGATGCGAAGAAATGAAGACAAAATCATTGGCCTTTTATCAAAAAAGAATGTTTACTGAACAGAACTTTCCATATAAATAAAGTTATACTGCTGACATCATAGAACCATGTCAATCAGAATAACAATGATAGTAATACGATACCATAACATTAATAATAATAACAATAATAATAATAAAGATGAGATGAAGATGAAGAAAAATGGTAATATTAATGATGATGACAAGACCAAAAAATGATAATATGATCATTATTATTATTATACTGATAATGATAATGATGAAAACAGTAATTGTGACAGTGGTTTTGAAAATGACGAAAATATTTCTGATAATAAGAAACGTAACATTACTGCATTAGTAACAACAATAATAATCATACTAATGATGATAATGATACAATAATGGTAGCAATAACAAGAAAATAAAAGTATTGGTAATTATGATAATGATGATAATAATAAACAATGGTAAAGATAATAAACGATAACAATATTAATTATGATGATAACATCAATGACCAAAGTAATAATGATAACAATAATACAAATAATAATACAAATAATAAAAATGATAATGATAATGATAATGATAATAACAATATCAACTATCACAAAAACAATGATATTAATAGTAATCATAATAATGACGATAGTAACAACATGACGATAATGATGATTACACTGATAATGATGATTACAATGATAATGATGATTACAATGATAATGATAATATTAACAATTACTATGATAATGATAATGATAATGATAATATAACAATTACTAATGATAATGATAATATTAACAATTACTAATGATAATGATAATATTAACAATTACCAATAATAATGATAAAGATAGCAATTAAGAAAGACAAGAGCCTCTACCCCGATGGCAGCAGCAGAGAGGGCCAGAGGTTGGCACCGAGAGATCCGCCGCGTCAGCCAAAACCCCGGATGTTGGCACTGCTCTTCTGGCGGCGGCGGCGACGAGGGCGCTGAAGGGGGGTCTCGGAAAGGCCTTATTTGGGCTCGTGTAATTAATGATGATGGCGGAAATCAAGACGGTAATCCTGAATTATGATAATGAGGATGTTTATTGTTGTTATTATTGTTATTGTTATTACTGTCATTTATATTGTTATTGTTATTATTATCATTGTTATCATAATTATTATTGATTATTATCATTATTACTATTATTACCATTTACGTTATCATTATCATTATCATTATCATCATCATTATTATAATTAATATTATTACTATCACTATCAGTGTTGTACTATCATTATTATGATAACAATTATGATCATTACTTTTATTATTATCATATTGATATTGTTATTGCTATTATTGTTGTAATTATCATTATCATTATAATTATCATCATTATCATTTCTATTATTAATTTTTGTTGTTTGATATTGGTGTTGTTTTAGAATAAAGAAAACAATAATGATAGAAATTATAATATTGATAAAGTTATGATGATAATGATGATAACAGTAATGGTAATGGTAATAATGCCAATAATAATAATGATAGTAATAATAATTATGATAATGTTAATTATGATCATGGTAATAATATTGATAATAAGGATAATAGAAATAATAATAATGATAATAATATAATAATAATGATAATAATAATGATAATGATAATAATAATAATGATAATATGATAATAATATAATAATAATATAATGATAATAGTAATGATAATGATAATAACTATATAATAATAATAATAATGTTTGAAATAATAATGATTATAGCAATAATGACAATTATGATGATTGTAACAACAGTAAAAAAAATAATAGTGTTGATAATAATAACAATAATAGTAACAATAAACATAATAATGATAACAACAACAACGGTAACAACCTCAATCGATGTAGCAACTCTCTGCAACGGTGAAATGGTTAGTGAATATAATTAGTGAAAATAATGTAATTAACTAAAGAAATTATAATAAATTATAAATTATAATGCAATTAGTGAAAATTATGTAATTAACTAAAGGTGTAATGATTAACCAAGAAAGTATTATGTTGTAGTTTAACGTTATTACTATTTTCATAATTATTTGTATTGTTATATCGATAGTGTAATATTACCATGATATTTGTTGTTGAGAAATGATGAAGAAATTTGGTAATTGATGATAAAGATAATGGTAATGATAATGATAGTAATATTAGTGACATGATCATAAATGATAATGATGATTTTAATAACATTAATGATTATATCAATAATGATAATTATTATGATAATAGTAATAACAATAATAATAATAATAATAATAATGATAAGATAATAACAATAATAACAATAATAATGATAATGATATGATGATAGTAGGGATAATAATGCTTATGATGATAATGATGATAATAATAATGATGATAATAATATGATAATAATAATAATAAATAGTAATAATAATAATAATAATAATAATAATAATAATAATAATAATAATAATAATAATAATAATAATAATAATAATAATAATATAATAATAATATAATAAATAATAATAATAATAACAAACAACAATGATAATAATTATAGTAATCAATTGAGTTTGATGGTTGCTTCTAGATTTGAATAAACAAAATTGTTATTCAGTTATCTTACTATAAATTGATTATTCTATTTTCATCTATTTTCAGAGTCTTATCAAATGCTATAATTCACTGCATGAACTGGATTCGTTGCGATAAATGCAGAAAAAGTGCGAATGAGAATGAATATCTTCACACTACTAGAGATGTATTTAACGAATGTGTCTTCGTCAAAAATGGTCTTATCTTATATCATCAAGACCAAGAGTCGACTAAGAACACGAGAAATAAATGCAGATTAATAAATACAGGTTAATAATAAATAATAAATTAATAATTGATAATAAATGCAGATTAATAAATACAGGTTAATAATAAATAATGAATTAATAATTGATAATAAATGCAGATTAATAAATACAGGTGTATTTTCTGAATTTAATGATAACAATGACAACAGCAATAACACGGTCGCTAAGGAAACCAGATGGAAAAGAAAATTCCATGGTATCCTATCCTTCCCTTCCTATTTCTCTCTCCCTCCTTCTCTTCCTATTTCTCTCTCCTCCTCCCTTCCTATTTCTTCTCCCTCCTCCCCTTCCTTTTCTCTCTCCCTCCTCCCCTTCCTATTTCTCTCTCCCTCCTCCCTTTCCTTTTCTCTCTCCCATTTCTCTCTCCCTGCTTCCCTTCCTATTTCTCTCTCCCTCCTTCCTTCATATTTCTCTCTTCCTCCTCCCCTTCCTATTTCTTCTCCCTCCTTCCCTTCCCATTTTCTCTCCCTCCCCTCCCTCCTGTTCTCTCTCTCTCCTCCTTCCCTTCCTATTTCTCTCTCCCTCCTTCCCTTCCTATTTCTCTCTCCCTCCTCCCCTTCCTATTTCTCTCTCCCATTTCTTCTCCCCTCCTTCCCTTCCTATTTCTCTCTCCTTCCTTCCCTTCCTTTTCTTCTCTCCCTCCTTCCCTTCCTATTTCTCTCTCCCTCTTCTCTTCCTATTTCTCTCTCTCCTTCCCTTCCTATTTCTTCTATATTCTCTCTCCCTCCTTCCCTTCCTATTTCTCTCTCCATCCTCCCTTCCATTTCTCTCTCCCTCCTTCCCTTCCTATTTTCTCTCTCCCTCCTTCCCTTCCTATTTCT